ATGCATTTTTTTTTTTTTTTTTATGTATTTGACATTGCACTTGATTTATTACTGCACATTTTTGCCTCCAAAAAAATAATCTAAGCGTTATTTTTAGGAGCAAAAAATAAGCGGCGTACTTTACTGGAGCGCAAAGACTGCTTTTTCGAGTCAAAACACTTTTTTAAAGACTTTTTTGACTTTTTTTGTAAAGACTTTTTGTGAGGTAAAGTCTTTTTTATTTGAGACTTTACTAAAAAGTAAAAACTTTTTGAAAATTTAAGGGAAAACATTCATCGGGCGTATTATTGTGCGTATCCTGCTGGAGAACATGGATCTGTGGAATCCGACTCGAACAAATCCAATTTTGATCGTATGCTATACAAATCATGCTTTGGACCAATTTTTGGAAGGTGTTTTGAAGGATCTGATCGATGACGGACGTTACGATGATGAGAAACCAAGTATTATTCGACTTGGCTCACGCTGTAGAAGTGAAACTTTGTTGAAGTATGTTTTACTTTCATGGATTTTTCAGGGATTTAGCCAGCCTTAAAACCTATACATTGGCAAAATGCCAGCACTACACTGGCAAAATTGATGTAATGGCAAGTAGGGCTTTTGTCAGACGGAAGGCTGTGGTTCGATTTTATCAACAAGAAAAGCAAATTCTGCGGCTCATTGATTTTTTCAGGTGGTAATTAAAGTTGGCACATGCCTTAAGAGCCAAAAGCGCCTTCATCTTACTAACAACTCTGAGAAAGGGAACTTTCTGTTGGTGGCTGCTTTTGACCTGTAGCTTGATTGTTTCCATTCTTCATTTTTTTGTGGAGAATTCTGTCGAAAGTAGACGAGTTTTTGCTTATTTTTAAAACTGTTTTTAATGAGAAAATTGCTAACTTGGGAACCAGAAAAGGTAGAAAGCTGAAATTTTGAGGGTATGTTCCTCGTCCACATAATCAAAGATTTAAAATTCGGTTCTCCCCCTCGTCTCGGACATGCATGGTTGTGGCCCCGCAAATTTTTTTGACGGAAAAATTGCTAACTTGGTGACCAGAAAAGCTAGCCAACTGAAATTTTAGGGGAATGTTCCCCGTTCAAGTGTCGCTATAACATGTTCCCCATTCAGGTATCACTGTAGTTGAGCCTCCCAAAATGGGGTCCTCGCTACGGTTTTCACACATGCTTTACAGGAGCAAAAGTTTCGCTGAAGCTTACTTATTTTTCTCAGTCGTAACATGCCAAGAATGCGAGATTCTAGGGAATTTTGTTTTATTATTTCTTTTTCTCTGTACTAACTGATTTAGATATACAAAACGGCAGATAACCGATGAATTTGAACATTTGATTCCACGTCTGATGAAACAGAAGGTTTGTTTTAGTCTTAACTGTATGTAAATGCATTTGCACTGAACTAATGTGCTGCCAAAACATCCAAGACTTTTAGCTTTACTGTATTTCTTCTCGGCTATTTAGGCACTGCTGTAGTGTCACTTTTATTAAACGTCAGTATATGGCTTTTCCCCAAATCCAGATGATTTTATGCGTTTTTTGTAGCTATGCAATGCAAAAACGCATATTGACGAGGGGTTGTCTGTGTGTACGTGTGTCTATGTGTCTCTCTGTGCGCCTGTCACGCACTTTCGTCTCAAAACCTATAGAAGCTGCCGGGCTGAAATTTCGAGAACTTAATCTACATGCATGTGCCGGCCCCAATGCCCAAAATGGACGCCATCACTCGCGTGGTACTCGCGTACGGGCCCGCCAAAATTTTCTCGGGTAGTTTCATAACTCCGGGATCTGAGAAGCTAGAACGCTGAAATCTTAGGAGATGTTCCAGTGGGTATACGAGTTCAAACTCTACCTGCATGTAAGCGTGGTACCTACGTACGGCCTCGTGGAAGTTTCTTCCGGATAAGTTGCTGACTCGAGAACGTGAGAAGCTAGAAGACTGGAATTTTGAAGGGATGTTTCCTGAAAGTTCTGGCGGCCAGCCTGAAATTCTTTTAGCTAGAAGCATCTGCTGGAAAAGTCAGTGCCGCTAGCGACAGAAATCTACAGGGAGCTATGCAAAAAACGCTTCTTCGCACGGGCAGCCCGTGCGTTGGCCAATTATTGTAATTGCAGCTGGTAATGCAGTTTTGAAAGGAGTAACTACTGCCGGGTTCAGATTCACTAGTGTTTTTTTACGATATGTTTGATTTGGTTCGGTGGTAAATTGGTACTGACATCGAAAACATCTCAGGGAGTGAGATTATCTTTTGCTTCCTTTCAAGCAACTGTGGATGAGCGGGGAGGG